ATTCTCATCCAGTTGCCCTCCATTCCAGCCGCCCAGTTGGACCTGGCCTTGTCAATCAAGATCCTTCAAGACCATGGGTTCTTGGAGAACTTTCAAAAGAGTCAGATAGTTCCTTCATCCCGCCTCTTACACCTGGGCGTAGTGATAGACACAGACCGTTGCCAGGTCTATCTGTCTCAGGAACGTCAAGACAGCATCCGAACCCTAGTCCTCCAGGTCCGCAGGGAGCGTGTAGTGACACTGGCTCTGCTCTCCCAACTGTTGGGAAAGATGATATCGTGCATTGCGATAGTGCCTGGGGCCAGACTGCACTCCAGGAACCTTCAATGGTTCTTACTCCCATTTCAAAGACTGGGCACCAGCTCCTCCAACCAAAGGGTAAGGGTTCCTCCTCAGACCCTATAATCCCTTCAGCGGTGGTCCTCCCCAGTGGTAGCCAGAGGGTCCTTTTTCAAGGAACCCATTCGGCTCACCCTGACTACAGATGCCAGTCTGTTCGGCTGGGGAGCGCACTTTCAGTCACAGTTGGCTCAGGGCCAATGGTCCCGGTTAGACCTGAAGCACAACATCAACTGGTTGGAGCTCAAAGCCATACACCTGGCTCTCTGCCACTTCTGCAACAAGGGTTGCGAGGCAACATGTGCTGGTCCTCAACGTGGCGGCAAAGGCCCACGTAAACCAGCAAGGGGGGTACCCATTCCAGGTCCCTTATGGCCGAGGCCCAGTTGTTGGGCTCCTGGGCAGAGACCAACCTCTCCTCCCTCAGAGCCGAGCACATCTTGGGAGAGGCGAATCGTCAAGCGGACTTTTTAAGCAGGTCGACAGTGGACCACTCCGAATGGCGCCCGCACCCAGATCTCTTCGTAGAGATATCGGAGAGGTTTGGTCAACCGGTCTTGGACTTGTTTGCTTCTCCGGCGAACTCCCAGCTCCCGAGGTTTTTCTCCCGGTTCCCATCTCCAGGAGCGGAGAGAGCGGATGCCCTCCGCAGTCCATGGCCAAGGGGGCCTTCTTTACGCGTTTCCCCCTCTCCCTCTGATCCCGGCAAGATACTGCACGAGCGGGTGGAGGTGATATTTATGGCTCCGCACTGGCCAAGGAGGCCGTGGTTTGCCAACCACGTGAATCTTTCCAGGTCTTCTTCATGGAGGATTCCCCCAGGTCGCATCGCACTCAGCCAGGGAGCTCTGCAACATCCAGAACCCCAGCGGCTGCAGTTAACTGCCTGGCACTTGAACGCCGGATCCTGACACAAGAATCCTACTCGTCAGGCGTAATTTCAATGATTCAGGCCTCCCGACGGCTAGCAACGAATCACATCTATGATTCCACATGGAGGAATTTCTGCCATTGGTGTGAAAAACACCACCTGGCCATTTCGGATGTGACTATTCCAAGTATCTTGGACTATTTATTGGAAGGCCTCAACAAGGGCTTGGTGCCCAATACTATCTGCAGACAGGTGGCAGCTTTATCCACGCTCCTTACCTGTGAATATTCGGCGCCATTGGCTCAACATCCCATGATACGCTCCTTTATCAAGGGCGCCACCAACACCAAGCCGCCCGCGGTGCATAGGTATCCCTCTTGGGAGTTGCCATGGGTCTTACAGGCCCTCACCACGCCGCCATTTGAGCCTATCAGAACCTGTACTCTGTGGTCCTTTGTCCCTCAAGGTCGCCTTCCTGATAGCTGTTACGTCAGCTAGGCGGATTTCTGAACTGGCAGCTCTCTCTATCAGAGATGACCTGTGCATCTTTCATCAGGACTGAGTGGTCCTTCGCTTGGATCCTGCCTTTATTCTCAAGGTCAACACCTTGTTTCACAGGACGCAGGAAATTGTACTGCCAGATTTTTGCCCTAATCCGTCTCATGACTTGGAACGTCAATGGCACGCACTGGTCGTCCACAGGGCATTATGCTGTTACATCAAGCGGATGGCGGCCTTTCGCAAGTTGGAAGCCCTCTTTGTTTCCTTCCAACCTTCTTTTATGGGACAGAAGGTGTCTGCCTCTACCATAGGCAAATGGATCAGGGCTTGCATTGCAGGGGCGTATCAGTCGCATTCCCTGTCAGTTCCAAGTCATGTCACTGCGCATTCCACTCGCAGTGCCGCGACCTCAGCTGCATGGGTGACACAGGCATCCATTGAGGACATTTGTAGGGCAGCGACGTGGTCGTCGCCTTCCCCTTTTGTGAGGCATTATAAACTGGACAAGTTTGCCTCTGCAGACGCCTCCTTTGGCCGGAGAGTGTTACAGCAAGTAGTGCCAAAGGGCAGGACACCGGCTCAGACTGATTCCCTCCCGTAGGGACAGTGTGGCTTTGGTATGTCCCATTCATGGATTCTCTATCTCTCATGCTGGAGAAGGGGCATTGTCTTTCCTGAATGCCTTTTCTCAGCATGAAGATGGAGAATCCACACCCATCCCTTAGGATCCATCAGGTCCAGTGTCAGGGGTCTGGGAGCCAACACGTCGGACTGTCGTCAATAGCTTCGCCCCCGTCGAGGCTGGGAGGATCCTGGTCCAGGACGGGTGTGGCAAGTTTGACTGACTTGGTCTAATTGGGCAGGAAGACAGAGTTAACCCATTCGTGGATTCTCCATCTTCATGCTGAGAAAAGGCATTCAGGTAAGACAACGCCCCTTTTAGTCAATATTTCAAAACCCTGAGAGGTCATATTTTTAACATATTCCATTTTCTGTTTATTTATTTTAAAGCCTGCTAAAGCTCCAAACTCATTGATCAAATATTCTATATTAGTTTTCAGTTATTGCAAATATATAACTAAATTATCAGCAAATGCTCTCAATTTATAAACTTTCTTTTTGATATTTATACCTGTTATTTTCTAATCTTGCTTAATAACCCTATTTAAACCTCCAAAACCAATATTACCAGTAGAGAAGATAAGGGGCATCCTTGTTTCGTACCCTTTTGAATTTCACATGATTAGTTAAATAATAATCTTTGCTTGCTGTGACGTATAAACTGCTTTGATCCCTTGAATAAATTTCTCCCCAAAGTCCATGTCTTCCAAAATTTTGAACATAAAAACCCAATTTAGGTTCTCAAAGGCCTTTTCTGCATCCAAAATTAATATCCAAAAGCTGCCTATTTCTCACTATGATATTGTAGATGTTCAGTACTGTTCAAAACAGTCCTCACATTGGCTCTTAACTGTCTTTTTGGCAAAATGCAAGATCGATTTTCATGAATATATTTCTGTAAAATCTTCTTCAATCTTTCTGCTAAAATTTCACAAAAAATTATACATTATTTAATAATGAAATTGGTCTATATTTTTTTATTCTCAAGACATCTTGACCCTCTTTTGGTAAAAATGCAATATTATTTTCCAGGTTTGAGGCATCTTTGCTCCCTATAATACTCCATTCATTGCATCCTTTAGTGCAGCGCGCACCAGCCTTTTGGGCACCTGAGATCAGTTCCACGGAGCGAGGTTTTTCCGTGGACCAGAGGGAGCATGGTTTCACGTGCTGACTGCATCCCACGGATGAGGCTTGTTTGCGTGGTTTGGTTTTTGGCATGCCATGGACCAATGCTGATCCATGGACTGGGAATTGGGGACTTCTGCTTTAATAGCTGACGCAATTGATCTTCAAAGCATATATAATATTGGCTTGTAAGGCTATCTGGACCTGGAGCTAAGGTGTCTTTTATTTAGTTTCTGCTTTTTTCATATTTTCAGTTTTTTTCTTTCTTGCTGGGTTTTGTGACTCTTTTCTTCTTCACAGTCTTTGATGCATCTAGGGAAATGGCTAGAAAAACTTTTACCTCACAAAAGGTCTAAGACGGGGATGGTGAACCTTTTAGAGTCCGAGTGCCCAAACTGCAACCCAAACCCCACTTATTTATCGCTGGGTGCCAAGTGGGCGTGGCCCACTGGGTGGGCGTGGCTGCAGTGATCATGGCAGATTGGGTGGGAGTGGCCAAGGTGGGCATGATCACCTCGATGTTGCTCGTGGGGAGGGACGTCTGTGGGGGCCGGGCAGGGTTGGGGGAGATCCAGGGGTCTCTGGCAGGTGGGGCGGTGGGCAGGAGGCTCATCCTGCGGGGTGAGGCAAGGCAAGGCAAGGCAGGGGTGCCATTGTCACAGGGAAAGGTGAGACGGGCCGGGGCGGTTGCTGCCTGATACCATCGGCCCCTGCACACAGAGGCCAGTGAGCGCATGGGTGCTAGGATGCATCCGGCCATGTGGGACCTCGGCAAGTTAGCGGGTGGCTGGTTGAAGAGGGACGGTTGCCATCTCCGTGGCATGGCGCGCGTGCCCACAGAGAGGGCTGTGAGTGCCGCCTCTGGCATGTGTGCCATAGGTTCGCTACCACTGGTCTAAGAAAATAAACTCCTCTCTCCCAGCAGTTTTTTCAGAAGTAGCTTATCATTGCCTGCTTCCTAGGGCAGAACAGAGTGATTGGTCCAAGGTCACCCAGTGAGTTTGTACCTAATGCGGGATTAGAATTCATGGTCTTTTGGTTTCTATCCTGTTGCCTTAACTACTACAAGTAGCCCTTGATTTACAACCATTCATTTTATGACCATTCAAAATTAAAAAAAGTGACTAACAACTGTCCTTGTGCCTATGATCATTGCAGTGTTGCTGCGGTCATGAGAAAAAAAAATCAGACACTTGGCAACTGGCAGGTATTTACAGCTTCCCAGATTATATGATCACCATTTGCGATCTTCGAGGGACCTTTCAACAAGCAAAGTCAATGGGAAAGCCAGATTTGCTTAATGATTGTGTGATTCATTTCATGACACAGCAAAAAATGTTGCAAAATTGGGTACCATTCGGTTAATAATTACATCATGTTCCAATCTAATTGGGTCATAAGTTGAGGACTACCTGTAACAAAACTGGTTCTCTGTTATAACAATATAAATGTTTTATGTTCAGTGATACTCTTCTGAACTTCTTCAAGGTAAGCCTGCTAATCCAATAATAAATATTTATTTTTGTAATTATTTTTTTAGAAATTATAGAAAGTGATGGTTCCTTATCAGCATCATCCAATGAGAAGAGCGGGCAGAGACCTGAGATTGCAACATTTTCTAAAAAGAAGAAAGCCAGTGACATCTACTTTGTTCTGCTCATATGGAGTATTGTAATAGTCCAGATTTGGTTTAATTTCTGGATAATTCAATTGCTGCCCTTACCTTTTGCAGGTTATTCATTTTTTGTATTGTGATTTATAGTTTGATTGGGTAGGTAACTAAATACTGTCTTTGAGATGGCAACACCAATCCAACTTTGTGCAAATTTATTTAGCCTTAGAACTCAGCCCAGTCTTGCAGGACTGTGATCATACTACAGCAATACAGAAAATACACAATCATAAAATTTAGTCAGAGCCAATTGGGGAGACCAATTCTCAGAAACATACTGCCCTGACTTGCTTAATAGATAATCCTGCATTTAACTAGTACTAAGATATAATATGTTTTCTCTGTGTTGATACTTACTATGACGCCTACTGTAACAACTGGTACGGAGATGGAACACAAAATACTTCTAGCATGTTTATTATATTTTCAGATGATATATTCAGTCAAACTCCAATACTCTTATAGAGAGAGACAATACATTTACCAGGAGCCATGTTAATTTTTTTAAAAGTGCAGGGGTGGGAATGGGAAGCAGAGCCCAATCTAAACCCCACTTTTACTTATTCTGATGTATTATAAGCATAATTAAACAACACATCTAATTAATTTAATTACATGTATTATTTATCAGATTGTGACTACCACCTAGTATATTGTATGAAGAGAGTTACTAAATCAAATTACAACCTCTCTTACTCTCTTTGTTCTAAAGAGTAATGACTTCCCCTGCCAGTCCTTTCTATAAAGTTTGTATCTAGGACTGTTTATATTACACTAATTCTGCCATTTGCACCAAGCTTTTATCAATACCTTCTACACCTGCATTTTCATTTAAACCAACTAGTTCCCCATCTTGGTTCAAAGACTTCTAGCACTGGCATAGAAACAGTTATGAAAATGTTGCTCTTAATGGTGCAAATCTTTCTCATATCTTTTTGACCCTTTTATAGCAAAATTTCAACTGCTGGTAATTTCCTACCTTCTTTATATGCTAAATGTAACATTCTATTTCCCAGGAATTCAATAATATTTACTCCTCATTATATTCACCAGTTAGGATTAAATCTTTGTTGCCTTATCTCTTTGGTTCTAAGACTAATGATCAGTGTTCGAAGATATACATCTGTTTCTTGCTGAACTTAACAGTGTTTTAGATATTTGTAAACCTCTGTCATATTTCCATATTTCAAACATCACTCACCCTGTTGTTTTCATATTTTTTATTCTGGAAGCTGACCTATAAATCTGTTCCAGTTTTTTTTTACATTTTTAAAAGCGGTACAGGTAATCTTGAATTTATGACCATTTGTTTAGCAACCATTCAGAGTTATTGAGGTGCTTAGCAATGGCCCTTATGACTGGTCCCCATAGTTATGGCTGTTGCAGTGCCCCCACGGTCACATAATCAAATTCAGACACTTGGCAGCCCACTTGCAGATATGACTACAGAGGCATTTCAACTCCCTCCACCTGCCTATCTTTCCCCATGCCCTTTTGGCCTCCAGCCACATAGCACTCTGGCATTTCACCATCTTTTTGCTCCTGCTGCTCATGAGGCACTTCTTGCTTCCCCTTTTGGGAGGCAGCCATTGGTTTTCTTCTCCAGGTTGCACAAGGCCTTGGAAGACCCAGGAAGATGGCCTCATGTGATCAGCAACTGCCTCATGAGGGGCCAATCTAAGCGCATATTAGCAGTGGAAGCAAGAAGACAGTTAAAGACAACTGGGACATTGGCATGTAGGGTGTCAAGGGTGACTATGGTAAGGACTGGGGCAGCTATGACTTTGCATTGTCCTGCTGGACTAGGCTGGGGCTGATCTTCATGCTTTGCTTTGGCTCAGGAGTTATTTAGCCCCAGAACCACAGTGTTCCAAGAAGTCCCTTTGCCTTGGATTGCTGGGCCAGACTGGGGCTGGCCTTTGCACTGGCTTTTTGCTGTCCCAGAGCCACAGCACAGCACAAAGCCCAGTCTTATGCTGGCTGTCTCAGTAGCCACCTGGGCATGCCTCAGCAGCAGCAAGAGCAAGAAGATGACAAGAGCAGATGGGGTGCAGCAGGGAGAATGCAGAATAATGAGGAAGAGTGCAGATGGGATGCTTCCCAGGCTATAGCAAGTGACCCCAGAGCCATGCAGTTCTTGGCTTGCTTGTTTCCCCCCAAATGAGCCAAATGAGCAAAGAAAGGGAAGCCAAATGAGCAAAGAAATGGGGGAGATAAGGATCAATTGGAGGCAGTCCCAACGCCTACTGAGTTTGGGGCTGAGAAGCCTAACCCAGAATGGCTTGGATTGGAGTGAGAATGTCATTAAACAACACAATCACGTGATGTTGGACTTAGTAATGGAAATTATAATGCCCATTATGGTCGTAAGTTGAGGACTACCAATACTTCCAAGTGTTGTCTAGCTAGGACCTCTTATATCTTCATGATCTGGAATCAGATTTCTGTTCATGCAACCATTTTCAGCTTATTGTTTCTAAGCACCTTCTCACATGTTTGCTTACTAACATCATGCTTGTTAAGGTTTTATAGGCTTAATGGGAAAAAAATAAACATCCAGTCATCTTGAAAACTCTAAAGCAAAACTTATACATGAAGTAGTATCTTAATCCTAAATTCCAGTGGTACAATTTTCATATGTATAAGAAAAAAATTGACCATGTTTAATATTAACTGTGATCATCCAAAAGTAAGCATTTTGAGGGCTGTTGATTAAAGAAAAACTTGAATATGAGCTTAATTCAATTGAATATGAGCATTAGTGGTGCAGTGGTTAGAATGCTGTATTGCAAGCTAACTCTGCTCACAGCCTGGAGTTCAATCCTGATGGGGCTCAAGGTTGACTCAGCATTCCAGTCTTCCGAGGTCGGTAAAAAGAGGACCCAGGGCAATATGTTGACATAATAAACCACCCAGAAGGTGCTATAAAGCACTCTGGGGCAGTATATGAGTTTAAGTGCTATTGCTATTGCTGTTAATTCCTATTGAAACAAAATGACTTTGTAAGCAAAAAGTATGGATATTATATATGAAAAATATTTAATTCCTTTTTTATTTTTGCAGTATGGGTTTTAAAAAAACTGTTGGTCCACTTTGGAATAGTGCAATTCTCATTGATTTACTGCAGTACCTACTGGCATAGTCTGGAAGATTTTGTGAGACAACGTCAAGAAGTTCTTGTACCACAACCAGTTAAGGGGCTTGGAAGAATTATTCTCAAATTAGACAGCAAGGTATTTAAAATTATTTGTGAAATTGCTCTAGCTCAAATAATTTTTAAGAAATAAGCATCCTGTACTTTGCCACAGCATTTTTCTATTAAAAATAATAAAAATACTGGTGGTGGGCTTCAGATTATATAGCACAACTTTTCTAATGTTGGTTTTAGGATCTTATTATAATTAATAACTGTGAATATGACATTATAAATGAAGCACTACTCATAGGAAAGAGACAACTATTCTCTCGCACCACCCAAAATCAGTTCTGTAAGGTTGGAGAAGCTTTTCATACAGTTTTGGAAATACTTTGTGGGAACTTTAGAAAGAAGCAGTTGTGAAACTTATGTTGCAACCTTAATATACCATTTTAAGACATTTTAAATTAGGAACAGTATTCCTAATTCTTCCCTTTTATTAACTAATAATTTTGAAAAACTGGAGAAAAAAATTAATAAAAAATGCAGTTAATTCTTGCAGGAAAAATTGAACCTTTTGTAAGTAGGGATTTTTTCTCTCTACACTGTCTTTTTCATGTATGTATGCATTAGGTTTCTTTGTTAGGTTGACTTTGTTATCTTTTTAATACAATTCTTAATAAAATTATTGAAAAAAGAATGTTATAACCCAGGTTCAAATTGTTATAATTCTTTTGGAAAATAGAAAAAAAAATAGAAAAAACACTTGAATGCATTTGGGTCAATATAAAAGGGGGGAAAATGACATTGCCATAGGTGTATACTATAGGCCATCCAACCAAACAGAGGAAATAGATGAACTTTTTGCTAGTCAGCTAACTAAGGTATGTAGGAAGCACATCACAATAGTAATGGGGGACTTTAACTACCCTGACATCAACTGGGAAACAAACTCTGCACCAAGTGGAAGATCAAACAGATTCCTGACAAACCTAGCAGACAACTTTGTCTCCCAAAAAGTAGAGAAGGGAACTAGAGGTTTAGCCATATTGGATCTAATTCTCAGTAACAGAGATGAAATGATAGAAGGTGTTGAAGCCACAGGAACCTTGGGAGGAAGTGATCATGCAATATTGGAATTCAACATTATGGAAGCACAAGCAATAGAACACAGTCAAACTAGAGTCTTGGACTTCAAGAGAGCTAATTTCAATAAACTTAGAGAGGGCTTGGGAAGGATTCCATGGATGAGAATCCTCCAGGGGAAAACAACTCAAGAGGCTTGGGAAATTTTGAAAAGTGAGATAATAAAAGCCCAGTCTAGCACAATACCAATAAAGAAGAAAAATAACAGCTCTCAAAAGAAACCAGCATAGCTGCATCAAGAACTCTCTGATAAATTGAAAGATAAAAAGGACAAGTATAAAAAGTGGAAAGAGGGGCACATAACTAAGTCAGAATATCAGCAAATAGCCCAAGCCTGCAAAGATGAAGTGAGGAAAGCTAAGGCTCAAAATGACCTAAGGCTTGCGACCAAAGTAAAAAATAATAAAAAAAGCTTCTTTCAACATGTAAAAAACAAGAAAAAAGTGAAGGAAATGATTGGTCCATTAGTGGGGGAAAGTGGCAAGAACGTGACAAGCAACAGGGAGAAAGCAGAACTATTTAACTCATTTTTTTGCATCTGTCTTTACACAAAGGGAAAAAACAGACCAACCTATCAAAAATAATGCCATAAAAAATAGAATAGAAACACAAATTAAGATAGGCAAGAAAATGGTAAGTGAGCACTTGTCCAGCCTAGACGAGTTCAAATCACCAGGACCAGACGGATTACACCCCAAGGTTCTCAAAGAACTGGCATATGTGATCTCAGAGCCACTGAACTATATCTTTCAAAGATCCTGGAGCACTGGGAAACTACCAGAGGATTGGAAAAGAGCTGATATAGTTCCCATCTTCAAAAAAGGGGGAAAAATGGATCCAGAAAATTACAGACCTATCACCCTGACCTCAATACCTGGGACGATTCTGGAAAAGATAATCAAACAACGAATCAGCGAACACCTAGAGACAAACAAAATCATTACTAAAAGCCAACATGGGTTTGTCAAAAACAGATCATGCCAGACAAATCTTACTGCATTCTTTGACCAAGTGACAAAATTAGTGGATCAGAGGAATGCTATGGATATAATTTACTTGGACTTCAGTAAGGCATTTGATAAAGTAGATCACAACCTACTACTTGATAAGATAAAAAAATGTGGGTTAGATAGCATCACCACCAGATGGATTCGTAGCTGGCTGACCGGCCGTACTCAGCGTGTGGTCTTCAATGGAACCACATCTACATGGAGGGAAGTGTGTAGAGGGGTGCCCCAGGGCCCTGTTCTGGGTCCAGTGCTCTTCAACATCTTCAACGATTTGGACGAGGGGATAGATGGGGAACTCATCAAATTTGCAGACGACACCAAGCTGGCAGGAATAGCCAACACTCCAGAAGACAGGCTTAAGATACAGGAGGATCTGGACAGACTTGAACACTGGGCGCTATCTAACAAAATGAAATTCAATGGTGAAAAAAGTAAGGTTCTACATTTAGGCAAGAAAAAACAAATGTACAGGTATAGTATAGGGGGTACCTTGCTCAATAGTAGTAACTGTGAGAGGGATCTCGGAGTCCTAGTGGACAATCACTTAGATATGAGCCAGCAGTGTGCTGCAGCTGCCAAAAAAGCCAACACGGTGCTAGGCTGCATTAACAGAGGGATAGAATCAAAATCACGTGAAGTATTAATACCACTTTACAATGCCTTGATAAGGCCACCCTTGGAATACTGCATTCAGTTTTGGTCACCACGATATAAAAAAAAATGTTGAGACTGTAGAATACAGAGAAGAGCAACAAAGATGATTAGGGAACTGGAGGCTAAAACATACAAGGAACGGTTGCTGGAATTGGGTATGTCTAGTTTAATGAAGACAAGGACGAGGGGGGACATGATAGCAGTGTTCCAATATCTCAGGGGCTGCCACAAAGAAGAGGGAGTCAAGCTATTTTCCAAAGCGCCTGAAGGCAGGACAAGAAGTAACGGATGGAAACTAAGCAAGGAGAGAAGCAACTTAGAACTAAGGAGAAACTTCCTGACAGAACAATTAACCAGTGGAACAACCTGCCTCCAGAAGCGGTGAATGCTCCAACACTGGAATTTTTTAAGAAGAGACTGGACAGCCATTTGTCTGAAATGGTATAGGGTTTCCTGCCCGAGCAGGGGGTTGGACTAGATGACCTCCAAGGTCTCTTCCAACTTTTTTTTTTTTTTTTATTATTATTATTATTATTATTATTATTATTATTATTATTATTATTATTATTATTATTATTATTAATCATCGCACAGTCAGCCAGATGTTCAGACTGCATTTGGCATTTTGTCTACCTATCGAGTCCTTTCCAAGGACCTGGGATAGGCAGATGTGGATGTTTGATGTTATTACAGATATCATTGCAGGATGGAGGCAGTTCCTAGTAAGGCCACCTTTTGCAATTGACTAATGGCGAATTTGTCAATGCCAGTGGTGTTCAAATGGTGCTCCAGTTGTTTTGGGAGTGCACCCAAGGCGCCTATTACTATTAGTACTACCCTTGCTTGCCTTTGCCACAGTCTTTCTATTTCTACTTGTAGGTCTTTGTATTTTGTTATCTTCTCCAGTTCTTTCTCGTCTATTCTGCTGTCTCCAAGCACTGCCACGTCCACTATTCAGACTTTTTTGTCTTTCTTATTAACAATTGTTAAGTCCGGGGTGTTACGTTGCAGGTACTTGTCTGTTTGAATTCTGAAGTCCCAGAGCAGCTTAACTTTATCATTTTCTATGACTTTCTCTATTTTATGATCCCACCAGTTCTTGCTTACAGGCAAATGATATTTCTTGCAGATCTTCCAATGCACCATTGTTGCTACTTTGTCATGCCGCTGCTTGTAGTCAGTCTGTGTGATCTTCTTGCAGCAGCTTACCAGGTGATCCATTGTTTCTTCAGAATGTTTGCATAGGCGGCACTTACTGTCTGTTGCTGTCTTCTCAATTTTGACTTTATATGAATTTGTAGGCCAGTTGTTTATTATTATTATTATTATTATTATTATTATTATTATTATTATTATTATTTATTATTATTATTATTATTAAAATTATTATTATTATTTCTTTTTCTGAACGCTTTAGCTTAATTTCAGAGATTTTTGTATAGCTGTTTGGATTAATAGCAAGGTTGATAGGCAACAAGGGCAGTTTTCACATTGTATTTAATGGATGTTTTGATTTATATTACAAGTTATCTAGTGTCATTCAAATAGGAAACATATAAATAGAATATAAATAAATATTTAAATATTAACTAAAATTTAAAAGATATATACACATGCAGATAGTCCAGTTGCTTAGCAATTGCTCAAAGTTATGAGTCATTTCCCCTTGAGTATCTGAAAACTGAATCATGGCAACTGATGTACCTTCTCAATCTGAGCAAGTTGGTTAGGCAGAGAGTCAACAAAAATAAGTCCAATTGCTGAGAGTCAATTTTCAGACAACTACCTGGATAACTGAGAATCATGATTGACATATTGCTGTGCATTTTGGGGCAGAAACTATGAGTTTGGTGTGGAACAAATTTTATTTATTATTTATTTGTTATTTATTTGTTAAATATATTTGCTGCCTATTTTGCTGTAGGGCTACTTTAGGTGGAGTTGGTGTATTCCAAAGACTATCCTATATTATTTTGGGGGTCTTGCAAAAATATAACCAAGTCATCAGCAAATGTCTTCAATTTCTAAACTTTCTTTTTGATATTTATACCTGTTATTTTCTCATCTTGCCTAATATCACTATTCAAAACTTGTAACACCAATATAAACACCAAGGGAGATAAGGGGCATCCTTATCTTGTATCTTTTTGAATTTCAATTAATTGGTTAGATCTCCATTAATCATAATCTTTGTTTGCTGTGACATATAAACTGCTTTAACCTCTTGAATAAAATTCTCCCCAAAGTCCATATCTTTCCAAACTTTAAACATAAAAGCCCAATTTAAATTGTCAAAGGCCTTTTCTGCATCCAAGAATATTAAAGCGGCCTGTTTCTCATAATATTGTAAATATTCAATAATGTTCAAAATAGTCTTCACATTATTCCTTAGTTGCCTTTATGGCAGAAAGCCAGATTGATGTTCATGAATATGCTGTAGAACCTTCTTTAATATTTTTGCCAAAATTGCAGCAAAAAGGTTATAGTCATTGTTTATTAATGAAATTGGTCTGTAATTCCTTATCCTCGTGACATCTTTACCTTCCTTCAGTAATAGCACAATATTAGCTTCTTTCCAAGTTGGATTATTCCACCAAGTTTCAATGATATCTATTACATAATATTTGTCTTACTGAAATAGGATCTCTAATTCTTCCTATTTATTTCCCATGCTCTGTGTAGAAACATTTTATTTTTAGGATCAACTATTGGTGTCTTTATTATATTGTCGCTCAAAACTCTTGAGTCCCAATCCTCCTTACCTAGGATCCCATCCACTTAACCTATGAAATCGTTTAATGACTACAACTAGAAGTGCCAAGATTGCTATTGTTGATTAAAGTGGCCATGTGACATCTTGCTTAACAACTATTTTGCTCCAATATTCTGATCCCAATTGTGGTTGTAATTTGAGGACTACCTGTTCATTACTTTCTTCATATGCATCAAATGTGCCTAGTAACAACTGGTTTATTTTATGGAAATGCTTCCAATAATCAACTCCATTTTTAATTGCTTCCATACTTAATGGAATGTCAGTGTCATCCTTAACATAGTTCTATGATATGACAAAGGTAGTGGGGGTATATTATTGCAAATTTAAATATATAAAGTTGCTCATAGCTGCTCCATGTTGGACTACAATTGGCAAATTTGACCAAGATGCCAAGGGCACTCTTTGATGAAGTAATCTGGAATGGGTTTGAATCAGTAGCTCTCAAGGAGATGAACAATATTCTCTGCACAGTAAGTTTGTTGGACCCAGGCCTCTAATGGTTCATTAAGGTAATTGGGAAGGTCACCTGAATATGAGTCCAGGCAGTGAGATTGATCTCTTTAAAGGAAAGCGTAGTATGCTTCTTCCTTAAGAGATAAGACATTGTACTGTCCTGTCTCCAGCCTTCTCTTTTCGGAGAAAATTGTTGAGAAGGAGGTTGGACTCAATTACTGTACGTTAGGATTCAAGCCAGGATTTAGATGCAGTAACAACCTTGGTTACACTTGTTTATGACCTTTGTGGAGCCAGGATGTGGGTGGTACGTGTATCTTGTGCTCCTTTATCTTTCAGCAGCTTTCAATATTGTCAGCCATAATATCTTTCTGACTGACTCCAAGGATTGGAAATAGGGGGCACTGTTTTATAGTGGTTCTTTTCCTTGCTTTGTGTGCCATAGTGCTATATATCAGGGGTCCCAATCCCCAGGCTGCCGCCCATTAACAGGCCATGGTCTATTCGGAACTGGACCATGCAAGTGCGGGGCGATGTGCACATGTGCAGCTCAACTTGCACAAACAGCACTGGCGTGCATACCCACGCACACACAACTCAATTTTGCAAGTTGAGCTGTGCACACTTGTGCACATGCTGGACCGCTGCTCACATGGCTTGATTCTCCCCCCCCCCCCCGCTGGGCTGCCAAGCCACAAAGATTGGGGACCACTGCTCTACATCACTCTCCCATCTGGTTAAAAAGTACATGAAACCACATAGACGTAGCCCTGGGAGACAATTTTGATAGCCTAATTTGGCTAGCTTGGTATTAAAAGTTATAATTGGTATTATATCAATATAGATATGATACCTGACTCCAAACCAGCAGATGACTCTAATCTTACATTAAGTTCTCTTTTATATTTGAGCATGTAATGGAATGTACATCTGGAGAAGCAATGGGGGGAGAGTTTTGGCAAAATAGCTCTCCTAGAGTAAAACCCAGATCAGGGATGGCAACCTTTTGGCTTCGGCATGTCAAAAATTCAGAAAATACCTACCTTGCCTGTTCTGATGTGTCACACACACCACCAAACAAAAGAAGCCTCTTGAATCTCTTCTCTGGATTCTCTTCTCTCCTGAACTCTCTGGGCTCTCTGGAAGTCTCACAAGAGGAGCCTGATCTCACAGAGCATCTGGAGCACAGAAAATTGTGTGAGAATGCTCTTGCAATTTTCAGATGCCTCAAAGGCTGTGCAGAGCAAGACCTTCTTGTGCAACTTCCAGAGGATCTGGAGGCCTTCAATGTCATCAAAAATGGCATGATATGTCACCTGTGACACACATGTCAAATGTTTACAATCACTGGTCAAGACCGCACAACTTCAAGCAGTCGTGGGAGGGGGAAAAGAGGTTCAAAGTAGCCATTTTCTAGAATCTCTGAAGATACATTTAGTAGGTTAAAATATTACAGCTTTAGTTTGGCAAGATTTTATCCATTAGGTATAAGGAAATAAGGGATTTCATTTTATGTCTTTTCTCTGGGCTTGGGCCTAACAGAGCATGACATAAAGTCACAGCTCTTTATATAAATTTTCATAATACAATGGGACCTTTTGAGTCAAACAAAGTAGTGTTATGTTGTTCTTTTAACTTACTCTGCATACTGTTTGATTACTAGGCACCTTAGGTATGGAAGGCCAGTTATAACATTGATTTCTTTTAAGATATATTAAATGGCTTTACTCATGCTGCTTCAGTACAGTATATCTGATCTTACAAAGTCTCTGTTACTAAAGATATCATTAAACAGAAGATTAGAACAAAAATGCTTGGATAGATTAATATGTTATTTTGATTCTGTAACGTTTATTACATTTTCTTGTTTTTCACAGATGAACGTGTGGTTGGAAAAAATCCTAGATAAAATAATTAGCATATTCATTATATTTGTGCTAGTGATAGGCACCCTGTTGCTTGCGCTGCTCCTTACAGCAAAGGTATGTGTCCTATTAAACAGTGCAACATTTTACTGAAACTTTATTCATTCTAATCTACAAATTTCACTAATGGTCAGTATTTTATTTCTTCTCAGAATTGATATAATCAATGTATATTCTAATAATCACACTAAACATCTATTGTAATTGAAAGAGAAAAGCAAGCATTTTAGTTTCCCTCAGATTGGATAAGTTTGTTTTTCTAAGAAAAAAGCAGAGTTATGTACAAAGCAGAAAAATAATTCTGTTCCAGCCAGGTTATTCATATGTCAGGATTGTGATGTATTTAACTTTGTGAGTAGCCTGCATTGTATCCATTATATTAACAGGCCCTCTTATATAAAGATAGATAGGTGCATACTGACAAAGTATAAACTGTATTTTTCTTTTCTTTTTTTCCTTGAAATAAGGAAGGAATAAAAAAGATAATATATCATTGCATATATCATTGTGGTTATAGAAATTTTCTTATAAGAAAACAAATATAAAATATGTGCAGTCTCTAAAAATGAAAATACTTTAATTTTTATTATGTCTATTGATGGCTAATTTGTCAGAGAACCAGGCTTTTAGAAATTCCCTAGTGTTTTTGGACTTGGGTTAGTCTAGGATACTCACAGTTTCCCAGTTAAGGTTGGTTAACATGTAGTTAAGTCTATCTATATGTTGCAAAATTAAAGACATAATATCTTAGTACATAGTATACCAGTGATGGCGAACCTTTTAGAGACCGAGTGCCCAAACTGCAACCCCAAACCCACTTATTTATTGCCAGGTGCAGGTGGGCGTGGCCTACTGGGTGGGCGTGGCTGTGGTGGTCATGGCAGACCGGGTGGGTGTGGCCAAGGTGGGCGTAGTCACTTTGATGTTGCTCATGGGGAAGGATGCCTGTGGGGGCCGAGCAGGGTAGGGGGAGATCCAGGGGGTCTCTGGCAGGTGGGGTGGTGGGTAGGAGGCTCGTCCTGTGGGATGAGGCGAGGCAGGGTGGGGGTGCCATTATCTCAGGCAAGGCAGGGGCCGGGGCAGCTGCTGCCTGACACCATCGGCCTCCGCACACAGAGGCCAGCGAATGGATGGGGGCCGACAGTGTCCGTCAGCAGCCACAGTCTGCTGGCCCCTCAACTGGCGCACTCTGGGGCTCCGCAGCCTGCCACCAGCAATTCAGAGAAGTTCTCACAGAGACGGCTCTGAGTGCCACCTCTGGCACGCGTGCCTTAGGTTCGCCACCATTGTACTATACAAAAGGACAATCAATAAGCTAAGAAGGGAACAAAAAGACCAAAATATCTTGTCATTAATAATCAGCATCCAGATGAGCATAGATTAACTCCAAAATTAACATCAGAGCAGCAATCAAGAAGTAAATAATACCCCAACAAAGAACTGGGAAAACAAGCTAAGAGTAAACAGCCCAACCAGAACCTCCAAGACCACTCCCACCAACACTGACAGGGACAAACCACTAAAGCAGGAGTGTCAAACTGCCGGACCACGGGCTGGATGCGTCATGCCGAAACCACACCCATCCCATTGCCGGCAATGGAAAAAAAAGTTGCGATATGTCGCAACACGTCACGAGGCCACGAGTTTGACACCCCTGCACTAGAGTATATATAATAAGCCCATCTTACTAGCACTGATAATGTTATCTAGTTTGTGTAATGAAACATCTGCAAGAAAACAATCAAGCTCAGAGCACAAAGGACCCTTCATTTCAACCCTGAGCTACAAATATTCTCCTGTATTGATAATGTATAAGTTATCCCTTCCCTATATGCATATGATATCACAGCACAAGCAAGACGTTCAAAAAGGTTCAGAGCAAAGGAGAATGATTTTGACAGTAAACACTTCCATGGAAATACTCTTGCTTCCACTGATTGAGAAAGTCAATTCCATATGTCCTGCCATGTTATAACTCTCTATTATTCAAACAGAACTTCATCTGTTTTTGTTTGCTTCATCTTTACATTCTGGAGACTCAGATGTGGGTTAATATAAGTTAAACTTGCTTCTATGCAAGTTTAAATATGCAACTTTTGAGCCATGCAACTTTTATTTACTACTGTACTACTCATGGTTCCATGTGAATTAATAAATTTTGACCACACCTTTAATCATAAAGTCAGCAGTTAAGCTTTTGTTTTCTTGACACATTACAAAAAGTTTTTAAAAAAATAACCATTGAGAAAACATTGGAGTATTGGATTTTGAATATTAAGACTTTGAAACTATTTTAAAAATGCAATGAATTCCACTAGAGAACAATGTGGATGAAACTTGGAAATGAATGTTGGATAGTGAATGTTGCAATACCTGGAGACAGCAGACTATAAAGCAGATAATGATCCAGAGAAAATCACAAAATACAAGAAACTGCAATCGAAGTAGGACAACTGTGGTAAATAAAGCAAAGGTAATACCAATAGCAATAGATACCTTGGGTGCAATTCCAAACATCTGGAGGACCACTTGAACACTATCAGCATTGACAAAATCACAACCAGCCAATTGCAAAAGGCAGCAATTGAATTCAGGCAACTGAAATAGCTTACATTCTATGACAGTACCTTTAAAACTAGGAAACAACTATTGCTTATCCCAGATCCTTGGGAAGGACTCGATAGGTGGATAAAAATGCAAAATCCTGTCTAAACATCTATCTGACTATCTGTGCAACCAACCATCATAGTAATAATATGCTAAGCTTTGGATGACACTTAAGAAATCTGTGCACCGACAAGTGTTCCAGTTGTCAATTACAGAGGCTGCTTGGATCCACGCATATACTATGCCAATACCTTGCAACATCCTAGATGTTCTTGAGAGAGAGTCAGTTTGGTGGTGCGGTTACAGCATCAGGCTAGAAACCCAGAGACCCTGGGTTTGGTAACCTTGGGGCAGCAACTTTTTGCCCTAGAAAAGAAGCAGTGGCAAAACCACTTCTGAAAAACCTTTTCATGAAAAGTGCAGGGATTTGTTCAGGAAGTTATCAAAACCTGATATGATTGAACAGCAGGGGAAAAAATTGTTAAGATAAACTCAATGCAAATGACGGATAACAACAGTTAAAGAACTGGCAGCCATGATTTCAAGTTTTTGTATATGGAGTAATAACAAGAATCATAAAATGATTCAAAGTGCATATTGTGCAAAGAAGCAGAAGAAACAGTAGATAAACTCAGCTCAAACAAACTGATTATAAACAACATTACACAGTTGCTAAAATAATTTACTGGAACATCTATAAAAATTATCATGTGCCAGTAATGAAAAATTGGTGCAAAGGCATAGCTGAAAAAGTAGTTGAATGTGAGCAGATTAAATATTGTGGGATTTCCAGATTCAAATTGATAGAATCTTGACTCATAACACACCAGATTTAGATGTGGATAATTGATGTAGCAATACCAGAGAATAACAGAGTTGGAAGGGACCTTCGAGGTCTTCTTGCCTAATGCCCTGCACAAGCAGGAGACCTTATACCAGTGATGGCGAACCTTTTAGAAACTGAGTGCCCAAAAATCAGCCCCGCCCCTGCCCTCATCCGCCCTGCCCCCACTCCTGCCCCCCATCCACCCTGCTCCCGCCCCCTGCCAGCCCACAGGGCCACTCACTGCCTCCATGGCCGCCGATTGCCCAGGCAGTCTAGCAGTGCCATGGCGGCCACGCCCTCCACCCGTGCCCCACAGCATCAACTGCTTGCGATGGGGCACAAGGGTGGAGTCTTGTTCCCACTGCCTGGCTGCCATGTTCTTGGCTGCGCTGTTCCATGTGGGCCACACTCAGGGGCGACTCTCGGGGGTAGCTACTGGTGAGGGGGCGCAGCAGGAGGCGGGGCTGGAGCGATGGCGCACGTACCCACAGAGAGGGCTCTGAGTGCCGCCTCTGGAACTCTTGCCATAGGTTCGCCACCACTGTCTTATACCATTCTAGACCAATGGCTCTCTTCTTAAAAACCTCCAGGGATGGAGCACTCACAATTTCTGAAGGCAACCTGTTCCACTGGTTAATTATCAAGAAATTTCTCCTTAGCTCTAGGATAAGTGTACTACCATAGCTACAAAGGCAAAAAATTTAGGCAAAATTGATGAAAGTGATGGAATACTCTTTGATAATAAAATTTTGATAAAGGCAGTAAAAAGTCTACAAATATTTGGAAGTTTTGGAACCTTCAGATTTACTACAGAACAAGCCAAGAATGCATTTCTAATAAATATATCAAATGAATTCAGAAAATTTTGAAATCAAAATTAAATGGTGGAAATATCATCAAAGCCATTAATACTTAGTCAGTCCCGATACGCAGCAGGAATAATTGATTGGACCCAGATGGAACTTGATAATTTGGACAGAAAAAAAGAAATTAATAAGAATAAACTATGCTTCATACCCCCAAAGTGAGAAAGAGCCTGTGGCATAGGGTACTAATGCTTCTGCTTAACATGCAGACAGCCCAGGTTCGAATCTCGGAAGGGTATGTCTGACTGATGAAAACCAAACAAGGTTAGAAATAGCTATCTCAGTACTCCCTTAATTCTTTGTTAGCATTCCAAATTTTGAAAATAAATATATATATATATGTATATGAATATTACATATAATAATGCAAACTATTAATTTCTGATTCCCCTACTTTTAAGACAAAGAAATACTGATATTTTGCTACCCTTATCCCCACAAAATAATCTTTAATATGGGATCTTATCTGTATCCAATCAGACTTATTTTCAGTCTTCCTCCAGTTGCATTCTAAGATTTTTTCAGATGCTTTTATCTCCCTAATTCCTTCAGTAAAGCACAGCTCATCCTGGGATCATCACCCAGAAAGATGCCTCTTAGGAGTGATGCAATGCAAGGGCAAACCAATCACTAGATCCTCAAAGAAAATCCCAAGCTCTTTCTGGAATCCCACTGGTTCCATCAATTACCTAGGACAGGCCTGTCTCAATGCATGGAGGGTGAGGGAGTAAAAAAGCAACCAGGAGTGATATATCCTTAGCATTGGATTAATACTAATATCCTACATTGTCAGATCACATCTCAACCACTCCAAGACAAAGAACAGATCTAATGTGCAGCCTCTGATATATATACAGTTGTCAATAAATTGGGTCAGATCCATGATTGCATGGTAGGTCATGTACTCTTGAGGCACCCCAGACTCAGTGCCCAGGTGATAGATTGAAATCCTCAAGAACCAATGGCCCTGGGAACTCTATTTCCAACCCAGTTCAGAATCTATCAGTTCAGGTAGCAGCAGAGAGAATGGTATACTAGCAGCATTCTGAATTATTACCTTAAACTAGAGCACCAGTTATCTGCAGAGCAGAGTCCTTGAAAGCCTATAACAACTCACAGGTGATAGCAGCTACTTCTCTTACATTTCCTGGGCAATTGGCTGGCGTGCACATTTCTGAGAGGGGACTCCTGGACCCTCCCCCCTTCTAGGCACATCAGGTCTCAGCAAGACATACCAGGTCAGCACTCCTCCAAAATAAGATTATGGGTAAGGAGCAGCTTTGTTATACAGTAACTTGGCAATCAGAAACATCAGTGGCAATTGACATCAATGGCCACTGTTGATCTGGTTCCCAGGCATTGAAGGTAGAAGCCAAGGACCAGATAGCAGGACTGCTTGTGACCTTCCCCCCTCCCCCCAGTGTTTATTCATCTCCATGTTGGATTACTGTAATTCACTTGGTATTGGGCCGATTTTTGAAAAAAAAAGTCAGAATCTAGTCCAGAATAAGTGTTACATCAAGTTATCAATCTTAGTCACAAAATAAATGACAGGTATGTATTTAATGGTGTGAGACATTCATTTTTTTCTTACCTTTGTATTGCATTAGGTTCACCAGGAAAGTGTACATATGATTGAGGTAACAAGCAGGTTGATTAATGAAACGGTAGCCAATCACCCAGAATGGGCCAAGTAAGTAATGCCATATCTGATAGGATTTAAATATTCTCTTCATTTTGATATTGATCATTATTGTGCTGGGTATGGAAAATGTGAGAAAGAGGTTGTAATTTATTTTTGGCCTATTGTTGAATTTTGAAAGCATTTGAAACCAATAGGTTATTGGCGTTAACCTTTGGATACTGTCTGAATATCAAATTACTATCTTACCACTTGTTATGTCAAATTAAGAAATTCATGTGCTTAGATTTCCTAACTATACAGGGAGAATTTTCTATCAATTAAATTATTTAAATTCTTCCTTGAATCCTAAAACAGAAGGGTTTTTCAGGTCAGATAATTATTCTATCTGATAAAGAATTCTGTTCTCATAGTGCTTGGTGATATGCCAGTAGGACACTTTGAAGCTGTTTTTTTTTACAATAGCATTTTCCTATTTATATATCTAGCACTCAAACCAAGGGAATACTTCACTGAAATAAACCATGTTCCAGCATTTTATCCACTTTTTTGCACCATGTATAGCATGGTGATTTGCAACATACCTTAAGCATGAACACCGTACCTGTTTGCTCTTCCTTAAATAAAATCTTTTATTAAGAAAATGCCAATTTATGTCAGCACCTTGACATGGATCTAGCCAGTTTTTCTCCTTAAATCTATTTTGCTGCAAATCTATAAGGACCTGCCTCAGCTAATTCTCCCAAGAAAGCAGAACTCTTGAAATTGGTATTGTTTCAAACAGGAACTTTTATTGAGAGTTAGTGATAGCAGGAGAGCAAAGCAAGATCTAAAGATTTCCTGCACAAATTGCTACATTAAAACTTTTGTTCACAAAACCCCACCCCATACCCATCTGTTCATGTCCAACCAATCCACAGGTGCGAAGTTGTTATGGGAACCAGAGCTGATAAGGCATATTAATTTCCTCTTTTCACACCCAAAGAGATACATCAAAGTTTAGAAAGAACAAAGTAGAAGAAATAGATCCATAAGGCCCCCTTCCAGCAGAGCAAAGTTTGCCTCCTCTCACTAGAATGGCAGAGCCCAGAAAAGAAAGCAAAGCCTCCCCCTCCCATTAGAATGGTAGAGCCCAGAAAAGAAACATTGAAGGGGATTCCAACATGCTCCCCCCCCCTTAAAAGAAGGAGAAATTTGTGCAGTAGCACAGCAGCCAAGGGATCACGGGGCTCTGCACCCTACGGCCAATTTCTGCCTGCTAGAGGACCCTAAATGGGCCTGAAGTTGCCCCATAGAGGCAACAAGGAAGGATGTCCCACCGATTGCGGAAAGACTGCGGCCAATCTGATCAGTTTGGGAAAAGCCCTCCAGAAACCAGCAGGAGAAAGGCTAGCTTAACTTCAGAGTCTAGCCCAAACTACAAGCAGCCCGAGCCCAAAAGCACTACTTTAAGCTGACTGTAAACAACATGTTTGGAACTGGGTAAGAACAGTGATTTTCTCTCTTCTACTTGAAAATTGATTTCCTGGGGGGGGGGGGGAAGAGAAAACCCCCAAGAAGCAAAAAGCCTTCGAAAATGAGAAGGGGGGGATCTTTGCCCCACTCTCCTACAGATGGAAGCGGCAAATTAAACTTTTCAGGGGGAATAGAAATATACTGAAATGTGACTTCCTGTTCCGGCAAGCAGTGTCATCGGCTGAGAGATTCGGGATGCTGAGCTCTTCAGCTGAGTTTCTTCCTGTTTGGAGACCCTAAATGGGCCAGAAGCCGCCCCGGAGAGGTGGCAATGAAGGAAGGTACTTCCAGGGACCTAGGAGAGACGGCGGTCTCTCCAATCGGTCCAGGAGAAGCCTCCCAGAAACCGACAGGAGAAAGGCTAGCTAACTCCATTGTCTAGCCCTAGTTGCAAGCAAATGGAAGTCAAGAAGCTCTACCTAAACTGATCGTAAACAGTGTGTTTGAAGCTGGGTAAGAACTAATTTTCTCTATCCTACTTATTTTCCTGAAAAAAAATAACTCCCAAGAAGCAAAAATACCTCCGAGAGTGAAAAAAGGGAGGGATTCTCCCCCCTTTTTTGGCTATTGGAAGCGGCGAATCTAACTCTTTAAGGAAGAAAAAAAGATTAAAGAACTGAAAAATGATCCAACACTGACACCTACTGGTGGATGAGGAGCTAAAACGCTTTTGTTTGTGGCCTTCAAAGTCTTAGTAAACACAGCTGCTCAGATAAAGTGGTATTTACAGAAACAATGGATGTTTTACAAGAGGAAATATATGATACGCTGCAATCCATTCAAAGGACAATGATTTTAAACCACAAAGAAATAAAAAACAACTTTGAACGTATACATCAACTTATCTCCAATTTAAGTTCACTTCAAAAAAAATCCTCAGGAGAACACAGCAGAGATGATTGAAGATAAATTAGAGGGAAAAGACTTAAAGATGGACTTTCACAAAATAGAAGAGTATGATTTAATTCAAGTGGAAGGAAAGACAACTTACACGTCAACATTACAAAATAAATTGGCAAATGCTCAGGACAGAGACATTGATTTACTTTCTACATCTACAGTAACACCTACGATCGTATGGGAAAACCTTTGGATTCAGCAAAGTATATTGATCAAGAAAGATTCTGGGTAAAGAAAAGAGATTAAGATGGAAACCAAGAAAAAAGATGATGGGACATACCAGAGAGAATATTTAAAAAAGAAACGTGTGTTTGAATATGATTAAAGAAATAGAAAAAATTTGAAACACACCATTCCAAGAGGAATGGAATCTATTAATAGGCACATTGAGCTGTGCCAGGCTCACCTTGCGTTAAGAACATGGGAGAGGCAACATCAGTACCCGGTTGGGAAAAGGGGATCCCATATCACCCCCCGAGCTGCGGTGCAGGAAGATGAGGGTGGGCATACTCCCCAACTGGTCTGGAAAAAGGAAGAGAGTGGAACTCCCTCAGCATACCAACCCCCTAGGGCACATCCTTTTGAAGGCCTTCATGGTGGTAACCCTGGGGGGCAGTCACCCATGAGCAGACCCACTGACCTCTCTGATCTTGCTCTACCATGCTTTGAGAGAATTGACACCCGGTTACGACCCGCACACACCTGGCAGCGCAACTGGGCGAATGTGCAAACAGAGAACGGCTTGCGACCTCCTGATCCACCTAGTCGAGACAAACCTGCTAACAACGATGGATTGCATAATGGAGCGTTCTTCCGTGACCAAGGTGCCCTACCCGGCAACTACGATGACTCAGCCGGTAGTGTGGGTCTGTTGGCGACTCATGTCGGTATGGGCAATGCACCCCTAGACCCCCCTCCATCCACCCCCCTTAGTGCTTCATGGACGCCGGCACACTGTCGGCAAGGGACAACCCATCGCGGAGCGATGGCACCCCCCTGTAGACGGGGAGCTTGGACCCGCTCCGCGACGCGTGCTGCGCTTGAGGCTGCGAGGGATGATTGTGGGGTTTCTGATGCATCTGGACGGCTTGGCTGCGGTCTCCGGCTTGCAGTGGATGGAGGAGAGCGAGAGACGCTTGAGGTGGTTGGGGACCGTGAGACGTCTTCCGAGAATGGACGGTTGTGCGGCCTCGCCGCCTCTCCTGCGTGTAGAGATGCTGAGCGGAGCAGAGTGGAGAGGGGTGGACGCCCCGCTTGTAAGCACGATGCACACCCCGTGGAGACTGGCGCAGGCGTCTATGACTCCATGGGCCTTCCTGGAGTGAAAAACGAACGGCGGCACCCCCCTCCCACTTGTGCAGCCTGGGGTAAAGGGTGTTTCCATCCCATAAGCCAGCCATACCCTCCACTGCCCTCCAGTTCGGAAGTAATCGCAGGATCAGTTCTCCGGGGAAAAGCATCTCCGGCGGAGGAGTGTGTTCATGAGAGGAGGACTGACTCTGAGACTGACAGTAGGAGCAGGAGCCTAACCACCAATGGCAAGGAAAGCAAAACTCTCGTTGACCGGCCACGCCCGATGACTAGGGCTTGGTGCCGGATGCAGAGCAATGGCCAGCTATAAGGGAACTTCTCCCGCCCTGTATGAACTACAGCCCTGAGGAAGTTGGCAGTTTGCCAACGAAAGCTAGGTCTTCAATTTTTGTAGATTTCTTTTAATAATTTTGTAGGTTTTAACCAGTATATGTCATGTTGGTTTTTACCATCCATCAAATATTTTTAGAGTCTCTTCTTCTCCTGGTGTTCTTTACTTCTTGTTGTGATATATATATATATATATATATATATATATATGAGTGCTTTTTTTTTTTTTGAACACCCTGTCAGCCTAAATATGGGAGAGAGAGAAGTCTTTTGCCTGCATCAGCTTAATCCAAAGCCATCCACAGGCAGCAGTCGCTTAACTGCGACATCATATATGTTTTTCAAAATTTGGAATGCTAACAAAGAATTAAGGGAGTACTGAGATAGCTATTTCTAACCTTGTTTGGTTTTCATCAGTCAG